TCGTGTATCATGATATGCGGTCGATCCGCTTTTATTCTGATTGCAGTTGTCACTCACGTATCGACACCGGTAAGTGTATGAAAAGATTAAAATATGTAAAAGAAAAGAAATTGAAATTATTGTGGTTTTGAAAAGATCTGCAGTACAGAAATGACATTTTAGAGATTACTGTGGAACATTGAGAGGTATAAATGCTACCAAACTCTTGCGAGAGAGTAAAAGGTTTTGGGAGGTGAAGAGAGTTTCATATCGGCATTGTAGGGAAATGTATGGAATAGTAGAGAATCAGAACGGATACATTTGAACAGAGAAGTGCTAAGATGAGTGAGTAGTGGTAATGAAGGCATTTAGAGCAAGTCTGACTATCCGTGATTATCAGATATGTTTAAGGAGTAACTTATCACCGAAGCTGATAATTTTTGAAATCAATTTTGGTGCCGAAATGTTATCTGAAAACATTCTCAATTTTGTTCAACAAATTACTATTTTGCAAAGAATTGTCTAGCTGGGTTGGGTTGACATGCTCTTTTGCTACTTGAAATTTGTCATCATTTGTTGAAGAGTTAGTTACAGAAGTTTGCAGTACGACTTGTTTTCGTACGGTTATTCAGTCTCAATTGATTTGTGCTAGAGATTTTAAATTCTGGTCATATCCTAGTATATTGTATCAAAACTAACTTTACATCACGTTAAATTTGATATTTTTGATTCGTATTAATAGTTTTTATGATCACGTTTATTAGCTTAGAACAAAGTCTGAAATAACGCATAACTCGTGCGATCGCGTCAGGTATTTGTCACACTTGTACAGTCTTACGTGAATTTGATCATTCTTTAGCTAATCAGTACTTGGCATCCAACAGGTGTAATCGCAGGTTAATAGTAGATTAATTCGAAAAGTTTGCTTGCAGTAATAATAATAATGAGTGTTCTCTTTTGATATCTTAGAATGTCAGTTAATAAATTAGGCTAATTCTTCTCGTAAGCTCTCTTTTCAGGTTAAGAAAAAATGAATTTTAACGGATTTGTTCACTTAAACATTATTTTGGCTGGAAGGGTCGCCTTAAAGCAATTCGCCAGTTGTTTAATTCTTAAGAAAATTTCAAACTTGCCTAATAACAGTGCAAAGTAGAAATTTGTTCGTAACTCTAAAGTAAGTGAGAAGTAAAAATTATTATTTGTAATTAAGCATTTCAGTTGTATTTCGAGTTTTCGTTTCATTTTTTCGTGAATTATTGACGCATTCATTGAATCAATACAAAAGAGAAAGAGTATTGTAGAGAGGATGAATGCGTATGGACATGTTGCGGGTTTACCGATTGAATGCTTAAGCATTGCGGTTGAACTTCGTAAAGAGCACCTTATTGACGAAAACGGACAACAGGTTAGAAAGATTACTCCTTTTGTAAGTTGTGTCAGCGTTTTTCACTAATCTTCTTTGATCTTTACAAAAGTACTGATGAAGTATCTGCTCTTCATATGTTAATCATGAGAAATGATGTTTTCTAATGTAATTGATTTGTACAAATCTATTTAAAACTGATTGGTAGCGTTTATAATGTGTGAAGCTTGTAAAGAAGAGGGTTTGGAATTATCCTTGATATAAGTGAGGAGGGAGATATTTTAGTAGGTCTTGCTACTTGGAAAGTAAAAGTATCATGCAAAACATTACTTAATTTTAATCTTATAGGTACTTCGTGTAGGATTTAAAATTGGAGGAGGTATTGATCAAGATCCCAGTCGGGCGCATTATCCATATCCAGATAGCGTATGAATAATTCATCTACAGCTGGAATTTGCAATTTATTATTTATTTGCTTTCAATGTTATTCACGGTTTATTTTGACTTCTGTTTTATTATTAGTAATTTGAATATTTGCATATGTAACTGATTTGTTTTGTTTTAGGGGATTTATATCACTCAGATTGAATCCGATTCACCAGCAGAACGCGCGGGTCTTCGTCAGCATGACAAGATTCTAAGAGTAAGCAATGTAAAATTTGAATTTAAATTATCAGTTCCTGTTTTCAACAGATATAAGTTTGACTTCTTTGTCATTTTACTTCATTATTCATTCTTTTGCAGTGCGCAAAAACAGTAGAAGTTGTCATTTATGAAGCTTAGTGTTTGTCTATATTTGATCATATATCTGTGAAAAACAGATGATATTGAGGATGTGGTTTATCTTTAGTGATCTGTTCATGATTTTATTAACTACGAAAATAATCATTTTAGGTAAATGGTAACGACTTCACAATGGTAACTCATGAAAAGGCCGTGAAATATATTAAGAAATACCCTGTCCTTCATATGTTGATTGCGAGGAAAGATGTTTCTTAATATAACTGTTATTTACAACTACCTGGTCACTTCTGTTTTCTAATAAAAGAAACCAATCAAAAAAAAAAATAGTGGTGCAAAATTAAGGATTTTTTGGTGCAAAAAAAAATGCAAGTAAAGAATAAAAAATACCAAAAGTTTCTCTCAGAAACAGATAGCTTCATAGAGTTTCAAGATGTTGAGTAGTAGAGTCTCACTTGTGTTTCAATTCACCAATGCATTTTAAGACTCTAATGCATATTTATTTAGGTATCATGAGATTCTTTTTACTGTCAGTGCTTTGTGACCTCGGAATTTTCATTCTTAATATCTATTTGGTAAATTAATCATTGTAGTTGTAACGAAAAAAGCCATAATTTGCTTAAGATATTCAATGGAAAGTGTTTTTGCATAAATATTTTTTGTAATTATTATTCGCGTCAATAAGTTTTAAAACGATATGACTTCTGTTTATATTTTATGATGGGTTCGTCAGTAAAGCAAAAGTGTTACAAGAATTGCATACTAATATACTTTTAATTAAATGTAAGTTTTGCATGCATAATTGGCCGAAGTCTCCATGCACACCGTTATTACTGAAATCTAGTTCATTAGTACTCCCTGAAATCTGTATACAGTTCATCAACGTCCAGAATATTTGCTTCATATCTACAGTTTTCAGTATTCCAAATTGGTTTCGAAGAAGGATTCATGAAAATAGCCATTGCGATGAGGAATACGAATATAGTTGCAAACAGAAAAAGTGAAATGATCATAAGTATTCGTTCCCAATATAAGACCTTAAATGTAAAGTCAACATTTCTGATGTGCAAAATTTCATCACTTTTACACATTTTTGGTTTGCGTTATAAGTCTGTTATTTAATAGTTTTGTATCTTACATGAGATGAATTGTTGCTGTAAGAATGTCTAATAAACTGTAATTCGTTTAAGAGGATTAACTGTCTTCCTGAATTGTATTTGAATATTTTTGATTTCAAAGGCAGTAAGCTCAAATTATTAGTAAGTAAAAACATCAGAAATTTAGTAAAAATATTAGAGGTGGTTTCCGTTCAGAACTTAGTTTTTCAGCTTACCTTGAGGTTGTGTAAAATGATAATGCCCATAAGTATACCAGTAACGGCGCCAGCAATATGAGCAGTATAGGATATACGGTCACATGCATCTGATTGAAGACGCCGGTAAATAGTTGATGCTATGTCGAGAACTACATATGTGCTGATGGTAAGTAGTCTAAACAATCTATAGGGCATTTCGTGCCAATTCTGAAATGAACGCGATAATTATTATAGTGTATTCTCATTCAGAACAGAATTCCGTTTTAAAAATCGAAATTCTTAATGAGTGATAGCGTGTAAGTCGCAAGATGTCAAAAAATAATGAGCTTAGCATAAAATGATAATAAAGTAGAAATTGCACTGCTTAGTTATGGAATAAAAGACTAGTTTATTATTAGTTGCAAATTACTGTATCTTAGCCACTACTTGAATCTTTACTCCCATGCACTTTTAATTACAGTTTACTTGCATATTTGACCACAAAAAATGCTTACAATGATGAGGTTGGAAAAATGTGCTCCTATTAAAGCATAAACTCCAGCAGAACATCCAATCAAGAATACTGATGAATCGAGCGTGTACTGTAGGAGTGCTCCTATATTATTGGATCAGAAATTCCAATACTAAGTTCGAAAATGCAAGTTGATGAGTAAGTGTAAAACAATTTTCAATTTTTGTAAAGAATTCTTGACAGGAGTCCTCTAAATCACTACTAATTATAGTTAGCTTAGTTTAGTAATCTATGCTCCAGTTGTATGGGATCGTATCAGAAACAAGTGTAGATACGACAATGAATTTTGCACCTTTCGTGGATAACTGGAATTATTTACCGAGAAAGACGGCTAATAAGTAAATGATCGCCACACGCCACATTTTATGAACTAATTCGAGTGGTATGCCAATTAGTAGTTGAAATATAATATTTGGCAGAAGATGAAGCATTCTGTAACCAAATTAAAATGACATATATCGCAGTAATTGAAAGTAACAAATATGGAAAACAAAGAGCTCAATCTTTCTCTGTATAATTATTGGAAGAATTGATGTAAAAATAGACTGGAATGGACCCTTGATGGATGAATTGGTAACTGATAAATCGCCATGCTTGATGGCGAAGAGGTGGTGCAAACAATAATGGCCCAACACTTCCGTCAACCCAACAACCAGCACAGTAAGTGAGTAAACTTTCAGGTCGTCCGTACGTATAATATACAAAAGTAGCTATCTGTAGGAACTGAATGATATTAATTCGTAAAGTCTGACACGAAAGTGATATAGAAGACTTTTTAGTTTGTAAAATTAATAGCTTGGTATCAAAATTAGCATTATAAGAATCTACTTTTTTAATGACTTTATACATGAACAAAGGTGTTTATGCAGTTTTATTTAAAGGAAATTAATTTTATAGCTGTGAATGACATTACTTGTAAAAGTGATATGCTCAAGATAAAAACTGGTGGAGGTATGCAGTTATATTCGTCGATGTAAGTATGTATCGTTGGTCGATCAGTTTTTGCAATAATAGTATCAGCTACAGAATACATTAATTTTCTCAGCTTACTCTTTTGTGCATTCGCGGATGTTACCTGTTTTCGAATAGAAATTAGTAATTACAAATGTATTATTTTAAGTCAAATATTGCTTATAAAAAATAATGCATCTAAATCATATACAATGAGAAATATGTATGGTAATTGAAAGTCTGTTGCAAATATAAAGCAAAATTATACGAGTTGGGAAAATTCATTGAGATCTAAAACAAGGTCATGGTTTTTGTCAGCTTCCTTCAAGAGTAAACGAATTTGCTTGTCAGTCAATTCAACCTACAAAAAAAGATAACAATGATTTCCTTCTGTTTAGTGCAATTAATTTTTGCACAACTGTTATTTACTTGTTTTACTTACTTGTTTTCTTTTCAAGTTATCATTTAAAAGGTGATAAATTTCGTTAAGTGGTATCATTCCATCACCATCTACATCAAGCTGAAACACGAAAGTATAAATTGTCGTTCACTAGAACCACTATTTAATCATCTTGATTTATTTTCCTATATGCCATCAGAAAAAAAATCCAAGTCAGTGCAATTATTTTAACGTAAACTATATGAAAAATAGTTGTCACTAGCTTTTATGCAAAGTTCTGATTTTCATATAGTTTACGTAAAACAGCTTACTGAAGCATATTGTTGAAATTAGAAAGAGTTTATTAATTAGTAAAAATTAGCAACAAAGAAATTGAATTTCAAAAAAAAAACAACTACTATAGAACTATATTAATATGAATGCAAAGTTGCTAAACAAACTTTATTAAACTCTTGAGCAATAGTTTGTTGCACTGACTCTCTGCTTGCCATGTACCTGTGGTAAGGTCTATAAAAATATTATGTAAACATCAGTGATAACGAGAAGCATAACTAATAATAATAACAATAATAATAGTAATTTGTAGTTGTAATAGAAGTACTCCACTGATGACAACTTTAGTATTGAAAGTAGAGATGAATTGAGATGATACATGCAAAATCAGTGAAGGAACGCGTAATAAAAGAGAATGGGACAAAGTGCTTCTTTGCTCGTTCCTCACTGCTATCAGCAATTAGTTCTTGCAGCTATTGACAAATTTTACGTAACGTCAACTTTAGCAGTTTTACACAAAGACAAAGTAATTACCATACAAGCAGAAATTCATCTTATAGCATCGCTTACTTCAAGTGTCGCTTTGAGCGTCCGCTTCTAACCACAATTTTTGAGCGATTCTCGTCCATCACAAAGTCATTTACTCATTGCAAATATTCCTTCCTTTCCGCTCCATACATACATATACACATGTCGTCTATTCATAAACATACTTTACATACCAAAACAATACTTGTCTGATCTTCCATTGCTACAGTAAAGCTTATGCAAATCAGTATTGAAATAAACAGTTATTCTTGTTGATAAATTATGCAAAGTATCTCAGCACTAGGTAAACAAAATTATGCTTACTTTACAGTTATATGACATCGGCATTGACTGGGTACAAGTTGATACCAAAACATTCACATCCTTGCGTTGAAATATGAGAAAGAACCATGTACGTATAGTCTATTTCAGAAATATATTATAAACAATAAATGATAAAATTATTAAGACATAATTGCAGTTTTTTTCAATATTTTCTTACACCAAACTTCAAGAAAATGCTATACTATCCACTTTAATATAATCAAGAGATCAGCTTCTGTTACAAGGCTTACAAACTTTTAAATCTCAGATTGAAATCTAAACATGTAATGATAAATGTGAACATTAAAACAGCGAACAACGAATCCGATGAAAGTTTGAAAACTTTAAAGCTTAATTCAGTAAAATAGTCATTTCTGAATATACACTTCTTAGAAACAATGGTTGGGATAATTTTTGAGTTACATTATTCTACTAATAGTTAGGTGCATTTTGCGTTTGATATCAACATATCTCTTCAGGTCAGTGATGCTTTTTAAAATTGAAATCAGAAACTTTCAAAGAAGGGTTATTTATATTTTTGCTGAAATAAAATTATGACAAACTTGGACTTTCATTTTTATTTCTTCATCTGTACAGAAGCAATTTAATAAGCACATTAATTCGGGATCACTTATAACGTCCAGTAAGTGACCTTCTTGAATGATACCTTTTGAACCAACTCATATCACTTAACCAATTTGACATCATCTTTTCATACAATAGCACCCAAAACAAGATAATATAAAGCATGCTACAATCACTTAGTAATTTCAAAAATTGTCATGCTTAATAACATGTGACAAAAAGCACACCCATTAAGCTGACTGAGTGCCAGTGAGATTAGAGAGGAATGTACATAAATTATTCCACATTTTGATTTTCACATTACGCGTGATCGAAGATTTGATGATAATCGCATGATAAATCTGTATGGAATAAAAATAACCTGTGGAACATTGTAGCCATCTGAAAGACCCACTCGATCGGCCATTGAATCAAAAAACGTCCATTTATTCGCAAAAAGAGCACGTACAAATGCTACGTAATGGGATGTTTCAATGCAAAGAACAGATGCAAGTTGCAATTTAATTTCAGGTACCAGCATTCTGCGAAACAGAGAAAGAGAATTCGAAGAGGAAAATAGATTACTCGTACCTACGAGAAACTCTTGCGTTTGGTGATCTAAACCACTGTGTGTCCGTTCATAACATATACCACAATAAGTCACCTAAAAACCAAAAAATTCAACAGAATGAAATTAAAATCTTGATTCAAGCGATTAATGATAGGATAAGCTGAATTCAGCTGAATTATTAATTTGAAAAGAAAACTTGCAAACAGATAACTGATATTCAGTAGTAAAATGTAATCATAACCTCTGCAATGAATACTTCTTGAGTCAGAAAACACTCCGGACACATCAGTTCAGCAAGTCTACCACAATTAATGCAAGTTCGTCTACCTAAAATGCTGCTAATCTCAATTCCTATTTATCTCCGGAAAAACGACCTATACATTATAAATTAAGTGAGTAACACTTATTTATGCTGCTAACAATTTATTATGAGTTGCACAAAAAAGCAATTTCAAATAATGAGAATCACACTGATTATGATCTCTTTGCCAGAGTACTTTGAGTAGAATAAAGATGTACAGATTCATTTGCGAAAAGAATACTGTTAAGACAGTATTAATGAGCACGAACAGTTCGACAATACGTCATCTGATAAAAGTCTGATTTATCACTAGGAATTTGATCCCAAATTTATTTCTTATCATTATGTGTTACGTAAAATTAAAAACAACCCAAAAAATTAGATGTGTTGAACTTTTTCCAAAAATCAGAATCTACCATAATGTTCTGAATTTCTGCTAGTCTGGTCTGTGCTTTTTGCTTTTCCTAAATTTTAGCACAAGCTTCTTTCAATATTATTTATAGTTTATTTATTGTAAAGAATATTTTTCTATATTTGGTCAGCCTTTATTTAGCAATTTATTTTTTATTATGGCAAATATCATAGCTCTTAGAAATTGCTTAATTAAACATCACGGGTAGTAACAGAACCTTCATTGGATGTCTATATTGTTTCATACTTCAAACTGACATATCCTGAATATCACATATCACGTATCGATGACACCTTCACTCACTCACTCACTCACTATTTATGAGTAGTAATACTATTACTATTAATTATTCTTCAATATTAATCTTTTTTTTTTGGCATTTTACGTTGAATTCATTTGTATTATATTTGTCTCGCAAAAAATCATAATCATATAATGATTTACTTGATAGAATGGTTTTTCAGAGATCAAAAATTTTTTCAGAGCTGAGTGTATTTCTGGCCTATTCCATAATAAATTAAGTAAGTAACACTTATTTTTCATGACGAAAATACCATATGAAAATCTATACTTATGTAATTGAAAACTTTTATATGCCATAGTTAATAATTGAAAAGTAGCGACTGTCAAATGTTCAAACAAATAGACGGACAGAAATGCAAGAAATATAAATTGTTGAAGAAATTATTGAAATTCAAACTTCTCAAATTCTGACAGCAATCAGTGTAAATTATATGAAACTTATTAGATCATAAACTGCAATCAATTGTCATACACTCGTACTTGCTTTAAATTGTGATAGGCAAAGATATGAAAAAACAATTTCAGTGCAGCACTGACAAATAACAACTTGAGTTATGGTAATGTTTATAATATGCGCAGACAAAGAATCTTCAATTCATACAGCACAATATGAAGTGCAGTTGCAATGAAGAAGTATAATGCTTTATTACTTACTAGCGGAATCATCCCAACTTATCATTATTTAGAAGTTTGAATCCATCTGAAGATAACATCAAAAGTTTTCTATTTATGCTACAAAATGTTGTCTTACTTCAACTGTCATACAGATTTTCATTTTTGAATACAGTTCCTCTGTGATGCATAAATTTAAATTTTAAATGTTGTTTAAAATGAACCAATCCATTTTGTTGTCTGTTTGCGTAAACATTTTTCTTGACATCTAAATCGGAAGTGCAAACTATCTTAATAATAACAAAATTGCTCTTTCGGCACTTTTAAAATCAATTAAAAGCCAACTTTTCCGAGTATTTGTTTTGGAAATTTCCATTAAGTTAGTGATTAATGATTAATAGCTTGTTTGTAAAGGAATAGATAGATAGATAGATAGATAGATAGATAGATAGATAGATATAAGGTGTAGTTATGAAGAGAAACAGCTGTTTATCAGAGCTCAATATTGTTCTCTATTCTGGTAGGAAGTTAATTTTACTAATTTCATTTTAGCATTTCAATTATTTTGCATTCCAGCTTGATCCATCATCAGCCAGTTCATTTTTGTTCAACCTTTTATCTTCTTTAGTCACTTACCACAGCTTCTTACTTCAAGAACATTATGATGATTGATTTCAAAAATTCCTATGCAAAATTTTTTCTTCCAAAAATTTTAAAAATCGAAGTACCAGAAAAAACGAGCTTTACACTATTTGGTATAAAATACTTGTATGCATTTGACTGCATGTATTTTCAGTCTTTTTTCAAATTTAAATTTTACTGGTTACGATAGAAAAAACTCTTAATTCCGAACTATTTTAAGAACTATTATTTGTAATTAATTTGTGTAATTTTTGTCCTCAAATAAAACTTTAAAGAATATGAAATTTGAATTTAAGAGTAGATTTGAAAATCCGTTCAATAAAGTTTTCATTTTAGTTACTGAAAACTATGCTTATAACAAATCCATCATTCTTTGCAACAGTAAAGATAAAGTTCTCTTAAAAATTGACAACAAATACTTTTGT